ACGACGAAGACGATAAAACAGGAGTAGTGGCAAGATAAAATACAAGTAGTAGCGCATTATCCTTCCCCTCACCGCGCGCTGGTAACAGTCGCTATATCAAGTGGGCCGTGCGGCTTCGATGCTTTTTTGATATCACCTCGGCGCGTGCTCATTCGTTACATTCCTGTAATTAATAACTCAAGAGTTATTGCGAATATCGTAAAATGGTATGGGAATTTTCTATTTATCTTAAGCCGCTCTATGTCTCCATGAATTCCTCGGAGCGAGGAATTCGTGAAACACTCTGTACATATGTCTTCGACCGCTGTAATTTTAGTTTAACAACAATTTTAACAGCAATTTTATTTTAACTTCGAATTACTAACTCAAGGAATGCCAACTTGTGTACATACAATATTTAAAATAAAACTTATTCCAAATTTTTTCATGTCTCGCAATCCTAGGAGACATACACACATACACACACACATATATTCGACCTGTTTTCCGTATTGATACTTTCCGATATCTTTTTCCCCTTTATTTCATATCTGTTACCATCCATGCTTATTTCGAGCTATGTTTCATATTCCGACCACGATATTCTTAAGAGGGCGCCAATGCATAGCAAGATTTCTCTGGTACGCTAAATTCCGTAAGATCAATAGTCTTTATAGTATCTCGTCGGTGGCAATACTATTTTAGTTACGCCACCGACGAGATTCTAATAAAGACCGTCTTGTGGAAATTAAGGCAAGTTGTCCCAACTTCTTGGTAAGTTAACTCATATGTAGTTAAATCATATGTTTATCTATGTTTTTCCTGCTATTTGAACAAAGACAGGTATATGATTTAACTACCAGTTAGTGAGAGAATATCCTTTACAAAAATAATTATATAAAATGAAATTAGTGTGTAACATATCCCATTTTTGTAGAAAACAATAAATTTAAAAACATAAAAATTATAAAATACACGGAAATATATACAGACAAAAAGGATATTTTTTCAAAAATATATGATTGATCGATTCAATCAATCGATCGGCAGACGGATTGTGCGAATGAACGAAGGAGTGCGAACGAATGGACAGGGAAAATAATTTCGCGAACTCTCGATAAGAAGCGTAGAAAGTAATCGACTCGCAAGCTTCCGGCGTATTTTTCTCACCCTCAATGTTGACAACGTTATCCGCGAAAAGGAGCTTATAGGAGTTTCATACTCCAGCCACGATATTCCTAAGAGGGCGTTAGCGCCCAGCGAGACTTCTCTGGTGCTTAAAGGCTCATGTTCTGAACTCTCTTTTATCGTTAAAAGTGACTATAAAAATGGCTTTTAGTGATAAAAGAGAGTTCAGAATATGAGCCTAAATCCCGTAAGATCAACGGTCTTTATTAATATCTCGTCGATGTCGTTACCATCGGGACGAACGTAGTTCACATACCCTTTCTCAAGGGGTGCGTCGGAAAATGTGTTCCCTGCAATTCGGCCTCATAGCTGGTCTCAGGCTTTACTCTGGTCGCATATATTTTAAAATTGTTTGGCAGGATTAAATTATGCATTTCCTAAAGTTCTGCGCATGACGAGGCCGCTCTAAAACGCAAAACAATTAAAAAAGTACAGATTATTTATTGTTCGCTCCTGTCATGAATTGCTTTTGACTCCAGTAGATGTCTCGAGAGAGAATTCTGAAAGCGAAAACATTTACTTCTCGATCGGAATAAAATTCGGGACATCTCACAGTCACCAGCCAGAACTTTACACATTAGATATTCGTTCCTAATATAGTTCAACTTTAAAGATTAATATCTCGAGTATTAAAGCGACCTGGATGAAATTTTCGAGATTGTAATAAATCTATTTTGTAAATGCGTTAATTTTTGCGGCAATCGTCGAGCACACATATATTTAATCATAATACTGTCTCTTATTGTCTCGACATATTTGTTTCTCTGTCTCTGTAATGAATTTTATTTGTAAAAATATATCGATCGTATCGATGTATCGTATCGATGATGCATCCATGACGTTTCTGCATCAATAATAATACGCCGTAATAATAATAATACATCAATAATCATACGTACCGTTTAACGTAATCCTGTTAATTTGGATAAGATACGTATGTTAAAAGCATTGTTGCGATTTTGCTCGACGTTTATAGCGAACGATAAAAAGAGACAGAGGAAAAGTTTTAACGTGAATGAGACGCGCTATTAGCGGATAGCTCGCGTCGACGAAGATCCGCTATTCCGACGAGGTCAGGGAAATTCGATATCGTTGAATGAAGATTACCGGTAATAAGCAGATGGTAATACATTTTCACGTCAGCGGGAGGTGCACAATGGACTTGAAAGGCAACGTCGGAGGAGCCAGAGAGCAAACAGAATACGAATGGAACCGACTCGTTGCACAGCATCAGATCTTATCGCGACGAACTGTCAGGGGTGGATCATCGGATTGCTCTTATCCCAGCTTGCCCGAATGTTCCTCCCCTTTGACACACGCAACCCGAGCTCAGTCTCGATAACATAATAATGGCGAAGACGACGTATGGTGATGCTGCGATAAACCTACACACACACACACACGCACACACACACACACACACACACACACACACACAGTGAGACGACGGTCGCGTAAAGAGTCGAAACTTCAGCTCCCGAAATACTTATTGCATTTAAGTCTACAGGCACGTGTACACAACGAAGTTTTGTTTATTCGAATTGCTGTCGCCATTGTATTCTCACGGAGGGAATCTGCTACGTCGCACGCGGATCTTTGTGAATCAATACTCATTTTCTCTCAATTTCACGCACAAGGAAGGAAATTGTGCATATTACGAATCTCGTTACCAGCGATATTAATTAATCGGCATGTCGTCGCGCTATTTTTTTTTATCGTGCTACGGTTGTAGTCGATGAGACGAAGCGATCGCGATTCATTAAGAGATGAATACAGGTGAGACGGATGAAGCAAGATATCTGCATAACGTTGCATCTTCGTGGGAGATCTCCGAGGAGGAAAGCATGTAGCATTTTTTATAGACTTTCTATAAAATCGCACGCTTTGTGCCCTTTGCAGATTCCAATTAGATCGCGTCCGTGATGCGTCGTGTAGGGTTTTATTGTAGGGCACGTGTCAAAAAACTAAGCTCACGCAGACCGCGGCGGGTTAAAAGCGCCGCGTGTAGTCTCGTGTAATATTAGGGGCTGAAATAACCGAGGGAACGAGATTGTTGCGGTCTGCTGAAATTTAAGCCGCGACTGTGCCATTGTTGAATGCTCGGCGAAGATGTAACGACTATCGGCTAGAAAACGACAAGTAACTCTGACTGATGATTATATTCTATATACATTTACGGCTTGGGAGACTGTTGTCAATTTTTCTCGTTTCTCGTTTCTCGTTACGCGACTTTATTGCTAATTGTTGGTTACTTGTGCCAAAATGTGCGTTTAATCTTTATAATAACATTAACAATAATATTATATATATAATATTAATAATATAAAAAAATATAATAATTGATAATATAAAAAAATTTGCCTGGTAATGAACGAGCGGAAGCGATCATTCTGTAATGAGAGTGTTCGCTAAAAATTCAGATTTGTGATATAACACAAAATTGCAACCGGACTGCAAATACACTTTTAGCGACGGGGGAGAAAGAGAGACTCAGTTTGCCTCGTCCGCGTGATTTCCCAGGCACACGTATTCCCGCGGAAATGCGCGTATTACCCGTGTTACAGAGTTTTTAATAAAATGTGAACTTACTTTTTCAATTGGACGCAACGGCTGCGCATAATTTATGCGCGGGCGCGCGTGTGCGAGTGCGCGCGCGATGTGTATGTTCTCTCTTAATAAATTATACATCGGAAAAATTAGCGCGTCATTGTAAGGGCGCGCGCGACAGCGAAAATCGATACATCCCTCTCCCTCGTCGCTATGGGAAGCCAAAGAAAGCGGTGTTTGAAGGAAAACGATTTCGTATTGTAGCCCCACGTGTGTAACGTTTGCGCTGCGGCACGCGGCTCTCCAACCCCTCATGCGCCACGTGCCGGCCAATCTAAATCTAATAACACAAACAGCTTCACAATAACGTGCATCATACGAGGCGATCGTTTGGCGGCGGGAGGTAATGGGACACCATGTGAACTAATCGCTCCGAAGTGGTCCTCCACGGATCCTGTTTCGCTATTTGTTGATTTTGGTCTGCTCTCTCTCCCTCTCCCTCCTCTCCTCTCTCTCTCTCTCTCTCTCTCTCGCTCTCTCGCTCTCTCTTTCTCTTCTTCTCTCCTGGGACAAACAGGCTGCCGGCTGAGTTGGGCGATCGAGAGAGATATATTATGCAAAATATTTTCCATTTTTCCTGTCGTTGCAGATCTCGCATCCTGTCGCGATTCCGCCGGTATTTAACTCTTTCATCATTGTATGCGTCAATATATCCCAAAGGGATCTGTAAAATTTACCGTTGGCTTTTTACGTATGAATTAAAATTAAAATTAATTGTCATTGGTACTATTGGCTGAACGGTAGTATGGGATTTTTATAGATGAACAAATAAAGAAATGATACGAATAAATTGCTGCTTGAAAGCGAAAGAGTTAATATCGCTAGGGAACATACGTTATTTCTCACGCGCGATAACCAAGAAGCAGTCGCATGATTCTTGCTGATTCGTCGATCTACTACTTATCGAGTGCCGTCCTCTGGATGTAAAATAATACAACTATAAGGTATCTAATTTTGAGCTTCGAGATATCTAATTTTACAAGATATTCATAAAATACACAGTATTAAAAATCGGACACGTGGTTTTCTTCCAATGTCGGACGATCGGCGATAAAAGAAGAAGAGAACTCATTCACGGAAATGCTCCCTCGAGAAGGACCCGAAGGACAACGACGACGGCGAAGGAACGCAAGATAAAGATGCGGAATAAAGATTCCTCCGAAGACCCCATCGAGATCTTTTTGATTCTCAAAAAGTAAGTTTAATTTATTTCAATATACACCGACGAGAGAGTGTTCATACGCGCGGTAGTGTGTTTGTGTGTGTTGTCGCGTGCGTAGAAGAACAACGCGTCTCGTAAAAGATGATGACGTGACGTGATTGAACCAAGGTTACAATCAATATATATTTATATATATATATATTATATAATCAACATCACAAGATCACAGAGCGCTCGGCTCCGGGACGAAGAATGCACTTCCTAGAAGAAAGTTACATACCAAGTCGATATGCAAAAAGGAACTCTTTATAATAATAACGTCTTTTTTCCTTTTTCTTCTTATAACGACTCATTTTCTTCATTCTCGACAAAACGATACGATCTACGCTCGTAAACGGTTGCTGCCGCCGCTGTTGCTGTTGCTGCTGCTGCTGCAAAATTTTTCAGACTAATCGGGCCTGGGAACGGGAGGGGAGGAGAGAGGGAGGATCAGGGGAAATCTCTCGATTCTGGTACATGCTTCGTATACTTTCGTGAGTTGTGTGAGATTTTTCATTTTGTTTCGGGCCGGCTTATCAAACGATCCAAATCAACTATATACGTTTTATACAGGTAGCGTTCGATCCAACTTTTTAACGTGTTTCGTTTCGGCGCGATCTCGTCACCGGCGAGATACCGCTACTCGTCATTCGTCCTGGCTCTTTTTCCTTTTTCCTTCCGTTTTTGTTTTGGCTTCAGAGCGAGGAGTGGAACGGATTGCGATGAATTCAATTCGCGTTACGCGCGTGTCCACGAGACGGACGCGTAAGCGATACGTGAATTCGCGATCGGGATATTACGTTAAAAAATTGGATGGCGCCGAGAGTATACAGTGATATATGTGCGGATGTGCGCTACGGACGCTCTACGCTTTATTTACACCTATGTATAATCTTTCATACTCATTCTCTCTCTCTCTCTCTCTCTCTCTCTCTCTCTCTCTCTCTCTCTCTCTCTCTCTCTCTCTCTCTCTCTCTCTCTTTCTCACTCACTCTCTTTAGAACGACTGTTAATGTCACTTCGTTGGATTCTGGGAAATAATTTTTTGTCCTTCGCGCCTTCTTTCTCCTCCGCCTACTCTTTGTCTCTTTCTTTCACACTTTGTACATCGCAACAATATTTACAGGTATTTTACAGATTACAAATTACACGGTACGCTAACTAGGCGATATCGGTTAGTCCCTTAATCGTACACGGGGGAGGGGGGAGTAGGAAGTTAAAATTTCGAAGTCGAAAATGCTCTCTAAAACTATGGTATCTGTTATTCATTGATAAGCGATATGTCCGTCGAGTGTGGTGTCGGTTCCTTTCGATCCTCGCCAACCTCCTCTCTCCTCATTCGAATTATATAAAATATGTGACGCCCTTTCTTTCGGCTTTCCTCACTCGATTCGCGGCTCTCGAGTACGCGACTCGCGGGAAACGCATTTTCTTTCTTTCACCCTGATGTAAAATATTCCACAGTGTGAGAGACATTGAACACAGAAGACGCATCGTCGTAGCGGCGTTGTGATCTATCGACGAAAGATGTCTCTCGTCGACTGACATTTCCGAGAGAGAGTTGACCTTTTCGTCGGTAGACGATAACAATTAGCGGCGTTGAACGTTGCGGCGGAATGAAATAATTTAGAGCGAGATCTGAGGTAACTACATATATCACCATTTGTACAAATTTACACAAGGATATTAAACAGAGAAGGACTCGATCGTTAGGATCTGAAAGTGAGCAATGCAGAGGCCGCTTCAGCCAAACGCAAATGGTATATAATGTCATCCCGAGAGACTACAGATAACTTTGAATATATTTCTCTCTCTCTCTCTCTCTCTCTCTCTCTCTCTCTGTATTAATCATATTTATATCTGTTTGACCTCCAGCTTCTACAAGAGTTACCATGTCTCTTTATTTAGCACATCGTTCTCTTTTTCCTTGCGGAGGATACATCTAAATTTAACGTTAATTTGTGATTATTAACTCGTACACGTTACTCCTGTATTTAGGTCGAAAGTGATCAAAATAAACGATCGGAACTTTCCGGTTACACGCGCACCGGCAGTTTTTCTCTCTCTACCGCTGATTTATACACGTCCTCGTTCCTCCGTTTCTGCGTTTCGCACGAGCGGCCTCTACACCGTTTATCCTCAGAAATTACGCAGAAATTAAATACATATCCAATTGACTCAAGTCGATGTTCAACACAAGCCACAAAATTAATATTGAAAATGCGAAAGAAAGAATAAGGCAGAAGAAAAACGATCGTTTCCCGAGTGTTGTACATTCGCTACAACAATCGTGCGAGCCACGTCCGAGCTCGACCGAGCCTGCTAATAACGCTCACAGATGCGAAAGACACCTTCTCGTTGTTCGATATGTAACGTTCCTTAACTAGGCACGATCAACGGGTGATCGGTGCGAGACAGCTGTCGTGGATATTTTTGCACTGGTTTACCTGATGTGCCTTGCGAACTCGCAGACGCTTTCACTCCGACGAGAGTAACACGCACGCGGATACAGACGGCCCTACACTTCCTCCCCGGCCTCTCCTCTTCCTCCTCCACCGCCTCTTCGCGAGGCCATGGTGGAGTCGAGGAAGAACAGAGGAGACGCGAGGTCGCGGCGCGAGCAGCGGCTCGACGTGGTCGCGTCGAGTTCACGGGGGTGCGGCGTCGCGTCGGCGAACGACGTTCGCCAGTTCGTCGCAGTTTCGCACGCTGTCCCCGCGAGGGCCGTGCCTTGCGATGCCTCCGTCGGAGCTTACATCTCGTAGCACTATTTGCCGTTCGACGAAAGCAGCGGACTGGCGGCGGCCGAGTACCCCTGGCTGCAGGTGGGCAACATAAATGGGTTCATGTTGAAGGGCGAACCGACCACCTCTCCTAGTCCTGCAACATGCCCACTGTCGGTTATACGTTAGTAATCCGCTATTGCTTAAACGCTACGGCAACACTACGGCGATACGAGTGCGCGCGTGAGAAGTAATAAGCAGCGGCAAGCACACGGCTAGCACACTTGGCCTCTGCGCCGCGTAAAAAAGTGGTAAAAGTGGGAACTCGAGGAATTCTCGTGGAGAAAAAGAGCGCGCGGAAGTAGAAGTAAGTCAGTCGTCCGATGCGGAAGTGAGAAATAGTCGGATGACTGTCCTTCGGCGGACAGTAAAACGCTACGACACGAGCGCATTGATAATAATATTATTATATATTATTGGTATTTTTACTCCGAAGGAATAAATTCCTCTTGCCACAGAGCCACGACCCGTGCAATTCCATGAGAGACATTTCACAGTCGCAATGTTTCTTCAGGTAGCACGAGACGTCCCGAAATCATTCTGGTTGTGTTCAGGATATTCTGAAGACTTTTCTTTTTGGACGATTCTGGCGCGTTTCGTGCCACTTGAAGCCTTGATCCAATGAATCGGCGAAAGATACGGGAAAAAGCGGCCGAGGCTTAAGCCTAACGCAAGAATCGCGTATGAAAGCGCGTGTCGCGCGCGCAACAGCGAGAGACGCAGGTCGAACGCAGGTGAAATCAATCGCGTGGTCGGTAAGTGTGAGAGCGTACATACATTCTCGAGTGTCGTCTCATAATTCTTTAATCGCAGTGCATAGGGTGGTTGGTGGTGGTGGTGGTGGTGGTGGTGGTGATGATGGTGGTGGTGGTGGTGATGGTGGACGGTTAGCGGTTACTGGGCGGCTGTGGCGAGGTGGTGCTGTGTGGACCAGTGCGGTGGGACTGAGGTGGTCGGTGGTCGTACTACGGGGGCGAACGCACTCCCGTCCCCGGTATAGAAAATGCCGTATTGTTCGTGCGCTAAAACGAAAATTCCACATAAGGGGAAATCATAAGTGCATCGTGCATTTTGGAAAGTAACGCTAAAGTCTGCGGAAAAGCGCATGCCACGGCGCGGCGCGCGTCCGCGCGTCTACGTCATCAATCACATGCGTCGCGCGGGCTCGCCTCAAGCTGCGTGCCGGAAGCTGCGCTGTTGCGTACAGCCGACGCGGAGAGATCTCTTCCGCGGTCACGCGGACGTAACAGCGCGTGAGAGTCGGATCGATCGATCGAGACGTCTTGATCGACGGGAGCGACGATTCTTCGTTGCACGGCATGAAGACTCGAGTTTTCCACGCTGGGCACGACCGCCCTCGAGAATTCTTTATTTGTTATAATTAACATAATGAATGAACGTTGTTGTTGTTGTTGTTGTTGTTGTACACTAATATTAAATTAACAATTAATAAACGCATATTAGATAATGCAATTGAGAAGCTATATAAGTAAAATAAATGAAAACTGAAATATATTAGATACACAAGGTGTCTCATAATTCACGTCCACCATGAACATGACGCTATTTTTTACAAGAGCTCGTCATTTCTTTCTTAGCAAAAATATCGAAGCGTCGACTCGCGAGTTAGACTTCGGTCGGTCGGAAAGGGTAACGAAGTAATTTCCCTCGATCACTCGCAAGTGGTGGGACCTCGCTTGAACAAAATTTCAATCCGAGACTTAGCTTCAAGGATGCGTTATGTTAAACTGCGTTGGAACATTACCGCCAGGAGCAAATTGTTAAAAATATTCGTGAGGAATAGCGCTGCATGAGCAATAGGGGTGAAGTATATGGGACACTCTGTATACCGAGTATAGCTTGAATCTAAGCTCTGCGTCGATGTCGATGATGATTAAACGAATTGACGAATACCCGGGTTCCGCTTGCGAAACTGCAGCTGCGACTTTGCAAAATCGTGTATCAATTCCGGCGATCCACAACGCAATACACACACCCACACACACCCACACATATAGAGCCTGGACTTTCGCGGAGATTGTGCGGGCGCGGGGAGTAGCTCGCGCTCGGGGGCGAGAAAGAGAGAAAGCGGGGAAACTTACGCGAGGTGTAGAGGGTCGGGCTGCCGGTGTACGGATTGGCGACGGAGTAACTTCCGTTAGTACTGTGACTGTGGGGCGTGCTGGCCGAACTACCGCAGTAACCACCGCCGGTTACGACGCCACGTGGACTTGCACTACTGCTTTGTCTGTAGGCGTCGGCGTTACCGCCGACGCTTCCGCCGCTGCCGCCGCCTCCGCCTCCGCCGCCACCGCCACCGCCACCACCGCCGCCGCCGCCGCCGCCGCCCCCGCCGCCGGCACCGGCTCCTGTTGTCACGGAACTACCGTCTAGAAATAGAAACCTGCCCGTCAGACGAACTCTCGTCAGTATCTTTTGATCGTTCACGTCATGATCGGTTGCCTAGCGAATTTAACACGGATTTCACCGCGGGGAGAGGGGAGATCGACTTTTATCGACTCTTCGAGAAAAATCAAACTCACGAGCGTTCGTTGTATAGTTATATCAAGATTCCACGCGTCCGTGGCCGATTATCGCGTTGATCGTAACTTGATCGATATAATTGGCGCAGCTCGAGAAAAATGTATCTCCCATCTCGTCTCATTGACCGTGTGCAATCGATCTTCTTTCTTCTCTTTTTTTTTTTTTTTTTTTTTTTTTCTTTAATACAATCGACTATGCGTTTTATACAAGTCAATGAGACGCGGTAGAGTCATCAAGTCGTTCACCGTCGCGCTGTTAAAAGCACTAGCGAAAGTCAAGACTACACTCTTCGCGCCCGACATGCAGAGGGAAAAGATTGCTTGAATCAACGCGACGCTGACGCAACCAAGTGCCGCTCGGTCGAAAGAGACAAAACTTCCGGGCTTGATCATGAATCTCTTCCTCCAGCGCGAGAAGTGGGAATTTTCCAACTCGAAAGCATTTGGAAATCTTTTCGCTTCTCCCGAGTTCAAGCTAGAGGAAGAGATTCACGATCGCCTCCTCGGTTCTTAAGAAGCGGATTTGATTCGCCGGAAATTCCGTCTCCTTCAACGAGGACGCGTTCGGTTCGGTCATCGTCGTGTTAATCGACTAGTCTTCTTTTCCCGCGTGTGTGTTAGTTAACCAAACTCTCTCTCTCTCTCTCTCTCTCTCTCTCTCTCTCTCTCTCTCTCTATTCTATTAGCTTCTATTATATGTCTAAGATATACGATAACATTGTCGAGAACACCGTACCGTACATACCGTCCGTCCATTTGGCCGCGCTACCGTTCTCCTGCACCGTCACCGCCAATTGCCCCGTGTACGAGTTGAAGGCGGTCGCCGAACTGGAGGTGGGTGGTGCGGGTGCGTGCACCGAGCCCGGACTCCTCGGTGCACCGGTGATCCCCGTGTTACCGCTCCTGGGCATACTGTAAAGGGCCTCCGCTAGGTCCGCCGCCCTCTTCAGTATGATCTCCTTCGGCAGCTTCTCGGGGTCGCCCGGATGCCGCGGGATGAGCTTCTGTAGCCTCTGGAAGCCGTAGTCGATCGTCGGCTCGTTTAACGCTGCAAAACACAGCGGACATTCGTTCGCTCTTACTGCGCTGCCGAGGAGAATCCGCGTCCGTGGGATACACTCGCGACTGTCGATCGTCAGGACGACTTTACTCGCGCGCGGCTCTCTCTCTCTCTCTCTCTCTCTCTCTCTCTCTCTTTCTCCTTTCGTACTTACAGACGTAGACGAATCTGCCGGGGGCTCCTTTACAGAACTGCTTGCTCTTGTACGATAACGTCACCTCAACGACACCGGGTATCTGTCGCGGCGGCGTTTGCACCCTGATCGCGTTCGGGGTGATTAGCTGTGAGAAAAACGCTCAGTGTTTTTACATGTATACACCGAGAGAGAGAAGAAATATCTAAAAAACAAGAAAGAATATTTACTCGCTGGGTACTACCTATAAAGTGGAACGCGTTTGTTTAAATTCAAATCTTGTTAATTAGACACGAATAAACGAAAAGAATATTTTCGGGCGAAAAGAAGTTTCAAAGAAGATTAAAAAGGAAATGCATATATCCTCCGATTTGGAAATAATTCTTTCTCAGTGTACAGATATGCACAACTCGATGTAAATCAAGATATTGTCAGTGCCCATCAAATAAATATTTTGTTTGTTGCAAATATGTATTTTTTATGTTAGATATTTTTTTCTCAGTGTACACATTGCTTTCTTGGCGCCCTGGCATTGATATTAGGGGTACTGGAAAGTCTTTTCGTATTTTAAAATCATCAATTTCCGTGGCTGTAATTCCGGGATTCTTAATTTTAAACTAGAACTAATTTAAATTCCAGGTTAGTTGACAACATTTCTTTATTGTGTGTATCAACTTTCATTAAGATCGAATTTACTCTTGGATCTAATAACAACGTTTGAACCAAGTGAAGAACACGAAAAAAAGAAAAGACACTTTCCGGTATTCCTAATATATACATACGCATTTATCTCTGAGAGAGATTTACTATACAGTGATATGATTACATATTATATTATGTTAGAATGTGTATATGTATTAACCTCACTCCACACTAGCATCGTCCCAAAAACAACTTGCAGCCCGTCGAAGAAGTTTTCGCCGATGATTATGACGGTGGAGCCACCCGCCGTCCAGCCCTCATTAGGCGATATCGCCTTTATGCACGGCGTTTGAAGCGGTATCGGCGGATATAAACCTAAGTTCATGACATAAAAATAACGTAATGTATTCACCGGCTTTCGATCGTGCCATTAAATGTTTCTTATTTATTTCTTTATCCACCGAACACACCGAAGAATACAATATCTATTCCTGCCGAACGCACGCGCTGCTTTCGCGAGACTTTCTAATTAGCTTAACAGATTCTCCGGGAAATCTCCACCGGGAGCGTCGGCGATTAATTTCCCTGTCGCAAAGGAAGGCAATGGCAACGTTACAAAAAACTGCAAGTCGAGAACTGGATAAAACACCAAGCGGTAGCTTACGAGAGGAGCTTACGAATGACGAGGAGATGGGATATGGAAAATTATCTGAATATTCTGTTTATTCGGTCGAGGCCGAATGGCAGATATATTTTCCAGCGTGGCAAGCAAGTTTTCGAGGTCGTGGGGCTCGTGCGGGTGAAAGAGAACGAGAGAAAGGAGGAGAGGAATGGGAGACAGAGAGAAAGGAGTGAAAAACGAAAGAGAAACTGCGAAGGAGAACGGAAAGAGAACGAAGCAAACGGCGAGAGAGAGAGAGAGAGTCAGGACGAGGAAGAGACTGAGGGTTGGAGAGCTCAGAGAAGGGTTGTAACAAGAAGGAAGGGGAGAGGGCGATCGGACCGCCGGTGTCTCTGCTTGGAATTTATAACCCAATGATATCATTTTGTACCCCGGCGAAGCCAAGCCACCCCCGGCACCGACCCTGGGCGAAGCGGAGCCACGGCAGAGTGGCTGACATCATGGTATATTGCTCCCAGTGATGCTCAAACACTTTCCACTTGGAGTGCTTACGTGCCGTCACGCCGATAAATCTCGGCAGCTTAAAAGATCTCGACGTTGTCTGTATCTAGGCGATGAGGTTAAGACCGTACGCTTTGAGCTGAAATGGATATGGCCCGGCGAAAAGCATTTCTCTGAGATCGCGTCGTCTTCGTGGCGACTTCTCATTTCGCGAGACAAGACAAGATAATCGAATGATCGCGTCGAATGATTGAGACACGTGAGAGAACGGAACAGCCGACTGGCAAAGGAGAAGAGAGAAAGCATAAATACGATCTGCAATTTAATTACAACACACCGTGCGTGATGCGACATCGTTCGGCGGGAAGATCGCATCGCGATTTCCCACCCCACGGGACCGGAAGCGGGGAACAAGCAAACGCAAGTGACGATCTCACAGCTGCAGCGTTAAAGAGTCGCGAGTGCGGTCTCCACGCAAATGGGGATTCCTCAATGGGACATTGGTATTTATTGCGTTCAATGTACGAGAAAGTCGTTAAAGAGAGCCGGCCGTGTTGGCAACCACCCCCTGTTAGAGAATTGTCGAGCGGCGTGGTGTGGGCCGCCACGGTGGTGCTGGTAGCTGGCGAGGAGCAGGAGGAGGAGCAGGAGGAGGAGGAGGAGGAGGAGGAGGAGGAGAAGAGAGAGGAGCGGAGGGTTGAAAAGAGGGATTCAGCGGAGGAGGCCAAGGAACAAGCGTACCAACCCGGAATAAATAAAATTCCCCGCGCCGCTGAATGGTGAGGGCTGCTATTCCCAGCCCTCTCGAGCCCCTCTTTTGCCACGGAACTATCGTCGAAGTCGAAGCGCCGTTGTACCCTGCCGACACGTTCGGCCCGATTCCCTTTGATCACTGCGAGATCGCGCGATAACTTCGTTCGCCGCGCGCCGAGGACTCGGCAAATTCGGCGGAAAAACGCTCCGAGACCACGCGAGAGCGCTACCGCCGGAGTGAGCGACGCCGCATTAATCAAGGATCCTCTCCTTCGGCCCAAGCAGGTCCTCGTTTCGCAACCGGCGGCAGGGTCAAGAAGTGTGTCTCCTGTCCGTTGAAGAAGCGAATTCCCCGTGTTACGTGTTGAGAGCTACATTCGATTACCAATCGCGTCCGTGCCGTGTTTCAGCACCTAACATGACCCGCAAACTCGTAAAACAACCCGTCCCGTTGCACGAGGCGACCTTGTCCTTACGACGAATCGTTCGCGTGGCAAAAGAGTCCGAGTGGACGAGCCGCGGAGGCGAGAAGTCGCGGCCGTCCTGTCAAAGGAAGCGCCGCGGCGCGGAAAGCCACAGGCTGCGGCGCGGGCTCTTCAGATTTCATGGACAATCGAGATTTGATTTGTACGGCGCAGCCGGGGGAATTCCGTTCGCAACGACGGCAAAATTCACCAGAGGATATATGTACCGAGCCGTCGTTCTCCGTCCTTCTTCTTTCCGCCCGGCGCGGCGCTTCGTGTCTCATTGGTATGCTCGTTTCGGCGTTTGCGGGGGAGAGGGGAGGCGGAGGTGACTCGCGGGGGGATTTGGAAAGAGTGGATGTGTTGGTACCTTCATTGGCGTCGCAGAGGGGCTCGTGGAGGAGGGAGGAGGGTGGCGCGAGATAGCTTAAACTTAGCATTCACAAACCAACGCGCCGCGGCAAGCGCGGGGAGAGGGGGGAGCGGCGGCAGGAGGCGGGGGAGGTTGCGGAGGAGAGCGCGAGAGAACGACAGACAGGGCGCAACTGAGTGAGAGATAGAGAAAGATAGGCCAGGATGAGAGAAGAACGGGCCAATTCCGCTCTCTTTCTTTTCGTGTCTTTGCGCTTCGCGGCAGCCAACCAGCAGACAAAAAGAAGAAACCGACGCGCGGCGTCGGTGGCGGATGGAGAGAAGAGAGCCTCGGAACTCGCGGGCGAGAAGAAGAAGGGAGACAGGCACTCGAGCGAAATTCGTACGAGCAGAGTGGAGGGAAATAAGACCGAGGAACAAGGAGCGCGGAACGGATCCTTCGTTTTCCCCGCATCCCATTGATTTACATCTTGTCTTGGCGTAGGAAAGAAGGAAGCAAAGGAGGGAAGAAGAGGACGAAAAAGGACACAGTGAGAAAAGAAGCCTGCGCGAGAGACGAGCGAGCGAGAGCGAGTGGTCGAGAAGGAGAAGGCGCAGGGGTGGCCGCGCGATATCAGCCGTTTGTATGCGCGGCCGACGCCAAACTTTGCTGAATTGCCCTATGACTCCATATATCCCATTCTACCCGGTACGCCTTCCTGCACACACCCTCTTACGATTCCGCCCCGCCGCAGCTTCCCGGAGTCGTTATACCGATCTCGAAGAAAACTGACCCCCACACCCCGCGCCCAGCCGTGGAGCCGTGGAGGAACGCCGCGAAGCGGCGAGGGAAACAACACGCCGCGTTGAGCATTCGAGTTGGGACTCGCCACGAATGAGGGCGAATCACCCCGGAAGTCGATTTTGATTGGCGAAGCGCCAAGAGAGAAAGAAAGAGAGAGAGAGAGAGAGAGGGTGAAGGAAAGGGGGAGATAGATAGATAGACAGAGAGAGAGAGAGAGAGAGAGAGAGAGAGAGAGAGAGAGAATTTGGCCGCACGTGAATCATATCAACCGTGAAAAATCGATGCGTTAAATAAATGAGGGAGTTAATGCGCGCAGCGAGCTTTTTTAATTATCGCCCGTTAATTAATTACCATATTTTCTGCGAGTGCTTTGTTAGCGAAGGCCGACTGCAATTTTCGCCGGGAGAATGCAGCAGTTAACTTGCAAAATTAAATAACGAAAAACTGCACCGCGGCGGCGGCGGCAGGGACGGCGGCGGCGGTGGCGGCGGCGGCGGCGGTGGCGGCGGCGGCGGTGGTGGCGGACCGATTGGTGTTTACTGGGCGAATTGAATTATCGTGTAAATGCTCGTGCAGTCTCGCAATTAAATATGCAGACGACTCGATATCGGCGCCTCGCGTCTCGCGCATATGTTATCTCTTTAACGACGCTGATTAATTAACGCTATTTATCGATCGTACTTACTGTTGTACTCGCCGGGATCGCTGGGGTCCAAGCGTTTCGCCCTGCGCCCGTGCTTGCTGTTGTTGTGAACAAACATATTGTCCGAGACCGCCAGCAATGGCCCCTCCACTCCCACTTGCGTGGAAATGACCACCTGTTAAATAAAGTAGACGTTCGTTTATGTGAAGACTCGTCGCGAGACAGCTAATAATGCAAGCGACTAATGTGACAGATATGCGCTGGGAGATGAATCAGCGATAAAATAATTTTGCGACGAAAGACTGCCGAGACATCGGCGAAAAATTGTAGACAAGGACGGCGATTATCTTCTGCTCGACGAACAGTCGAATGCAATCCTTTCCATCGAATGCAATCGAGTCGAATTCCTGACCGAACGTTTGACAAAACTTTTTCGACTCATGCGATATTAACTAAATGTAACGTCCAAGCTTCTTGCACGTTGATGTCTGCATAAAAAGAAGATGGGACTTGGTTGATTAAGGTGGCGCGCTTAAGTAAGTAAGATTATCGCGTAAGTGGAACGTACTCGGTGGTACGAGCTTATGATAAATATACAACGATGAATCAACAATTTGTTCGGATATCTCTAATTTTATAATATACGAAACTGCACGTAAGACAGTTTTTCATGCTATTCTCGAATGTCGGGCAAGACTGGACCAGCTAGCTAGTGTAGAAATGAGTCAATGTTTTCCAGAAAAATTTCTTGCATCCAGTGTCTAGGATAGGATCTTTAGTTCAGGTAAGAGGAGGGCGCGTTTAGTACCTCGCAGGAGACAAGCATGAATGTATTCATGATTTCATTTGGGACAAATGAAAATCCCAATTGATCGCTCGCGGGATTCACACGCTGTTTAATATTCAATTTAACGTAGAAAGTGCTACACCGAGCTCACGCTGGTAATCGTACTTCTCTCTCCCTCTCTCTCATGATGCATTATACACAACATTACAAGTTCATCGTATCTCTCGTGAATGAGTGCGCACTACTCGATTTGCCGCGGCGCCGACTAATGCGGCGCGCAACTTGCGACTCGAGCGCACCACGTATGACGCGGATCAGCCGATGATCGTGCGATGTACAGCGACATATAATCCCGCCAAAGTGAATGATCACATTACAGTTTTGAGCGACGAAAACGATCTGAAATTATTTATGAGACGTCCGATAAACGTCGAGAGCGATTACTCGGCGAAGCGCTTTCGCCGCCGTTTCGCGAGCGCTTCGTCGGGGCCGGGGCTGCCGAAAAGATTCTCGCGGGGAGAGTGTTTATAAAATCGCGCGAGCGGCCGGAAACTTTTGTCCTTCGCAACTTCGCAACTTCTTTGCGTGTCGGTGATATTACTCGGCGAGCAACAACGCCGCCAACTTAGGGGTGCCGAAGCGACGATATAACGCGTCCGCCACTCTTAGACTCTTAGACGCGTACGCGGCAAGGTGGGCAGGGCAGGAGGGGAGGGGAAGGAAAAGAATTTTCACGGCAGTCACGGTGAAATTTTAATTCTCAAGTTCGGGCGGCGAGCAATCCCGGAAGAGCAAATTCGGAAGCGCGCAATGAGTATTCTAATTTCAGCCGGTCGCGCGAGAAGAAAAGGGTCGAACGCGCCATGACGAAAGAGGGGAGCGAAGGACGACGGCCAGAGGGTATGAGAGTCACCGCGGTTATTGGTAATTTACTTTTTAATTCTGTCCTTTGTTTCGACGAGTTGAGGAGACCGCGGAGGCGAAGGGCGAGTGGCGAGAAAGGACGAGAGAGATACGGTAAGTCGGTAAGTAGAAGCGGTCGTTGCAGGGAATAAGGGACGAACGAAAATACGCAGGGGGTAAGTCGAATAATAATGCCGCGCTCTGAGCTAATTGCCGATGCCTCGACTCGCGTCACTCGAACGACGATCTCGATTTTTTCAGAAACGGAAATTTATGAAAGCGACTATTCTGTACGAGAAACGTCCGATAGAAAAATTCGTTGTAACGCGGGGACTTCTCTGAGATACACGGACGAGATAGCAATAAAAATTTAACTCCTTAATATCCTTGTAAGCCAGGACCATGCAGAAATATGACTGAAATTACATATTTATTAGTGTAATTTGTTTTTGAAATTACATATTTATTAAAAAGAACATTATGTGTTTGATGTTGTACTGTGCAATATTATGATCGCTGTAATGCCTGATTGTTTGGTCGTGTGTTTTTTGTTCACTAACAATTTTGTTCTGTAACAATTCGTGCCCCAATATCGCCGTGGCCCAACTTTATGAGGATATCGTGAAAGGAAATATAATTTTAACGTAACTTTTACTACAATATTTGTTCCGTGCATAAATCTGATTTCGAAATTGTAAACAGTGACGCTTCACGTCCGCGCGCGTTTTCGTCCTACTTCGACTTGCCGCAAGCGCGAGATTTCCAGTATTATTTTTACACAGACGAATCCATCCATTTCGATGGGGGGCGATCAGGACGTAGAAGAACGCCGGTGCGCGGGCGTGCACGCGCGGAAGTCGCGCGGCCAAGAAGAAGGATGTTCGGCACGAACGATACGCGTCACGCGACGTTGCGGCGGAGTTTCGGAGCGCGCGCTCTCGCCTCCGTCTGTCCGCCCCTATAATTTCGCGGATCGTGACTCGAATGACGGGCTTGTCTCTCTCGGCGTCGCGGCACCACCTGCAATGCCTCGGGATCAAGTGGGCGGAAAGCTGGGAGCGGTTAAATGCGTCTCGGGCGAAGCCGCGAATCACGCTGCGCGAATCAAACCGGATAATTGACGCATCCCCGTCGTTGCTACTCGCGAGCCCGTCTGTTCTTCTTTTCCAGCCGATTTATGGGAAATGCTCTTTCTCTCGGTGAGAATGTATCGAAAATTTCGATCCGCGTCTCAAGTCGAGTTAGCGAGTTAGCGAGCGAGAGTGAGCGACTTACCTGAAAGCGTCTCATGTCGCGTGGGTTGCCCGCGTTTTTGAGGCAGTTCTGGTTGCACTTGAGAAAGAACTTGAGGAAGAATCTGAAAGCAGAGGGGGGTCCGGAGTTAAACGGTTGACAGGGTGCTTAACGCTCTTCAACGCCGGGAACTTAATTAGAACACGAACTTGGCCGGAAAGCAAGGCTGAATATTGTATAAGCCAATCGCGAGCCCCGCTTCACTTGCCTCTATTATTCAGCATTTCTCTAGATTAAACCCCCAACCACGTGTTCGCCGACCTTTAGGCCCGAACGCGGCATTGTGTACGGAAAATACGCGGTTACTTCGTCGCCCTGCAGAAATGTCAGACTAGGTTCGCCTGAATACGCGTTGTGAAAAAAGAAGTCGCCGTTGTAGCTGCAGAATGTATTCCGCATTTTTTGAGCGAGCAAATACAGAGTATAACGAAGACATTATTCACCCATCGAAAACGTTATTGTTGGAAGAGTTGTTATTTTAACATTTTGTCTCTCGTTGAGATATAATACGCGGGGGGGGGGGGGGGGCAAGATCGAAATATATAAATATAATTCTCTATTATTATACGGTAATTCTAATTTACGCGCACCTTCGTCACGCTATTAATTAATTACTAGAAAAGAGATAACGTACATACATGGCATTAGAAACTATCAAACTATAATTGTATTGGAAAGTGGCATCCCTGATACAAACCCATGTAAAATTTTATTCGATCTGTCGAGTCATTCGAGTGGTAGTACCAGTTGAAAAAGCTTTGTGCAAGATGGGTGCCGCATTTGCTAACAATTGCTAACCAAAAACGCATTCGAATGCGTATTTCTCAAGCGTGTTCGGCACGTTTTAATCGTTTTAAGCAAAATAAAATGGATTTCAAGCGTCGTTTCATAACCGTTGATGAAACTTGAATCCACCACTATATCATCATCAGAGCGAAAAGAACCTTCCGGAATCACACTTTAATGATGGTACTGAATTATTGGCAAAACGTTGGAATAAATGTATCGAAGTTTCAGGAGATTATATTGAAAACTAAAACATATTTCACGGCAAAAAAAAATTTTCTTTCATTGTTAGGCCGAGAACTTTTCAGACTGCCCTCGTACATTGGAAGCAATAAGAACGCGTTGAAAGTTCCGATACGTCGGTTAAGTGTCTTACCGTCACAGGATCGCGCAAGATGGAATTTCGCGATACAAGGACACGTGCGCATAAGCGCGCTGGAGGTCCTGCCAAAAAGCCGGCGGCTCAATTTTCATGAATTATGTAAAATGCTGGGGATATTGAATTTCAGGGAATTTTTTGAGACGCATTTTTATCCCCCGCGTTGGTGCCGTGGTGCGGAGAGATGGAAAGAAGGAGTCGATCGTGAGACGAGGAGGAGAGTTTGAAGATCAGGTAGCTTTACGCCAGACCGAAAAGGATCGAAAAAGCGAAGGAAACGCGTAGGAAACAATCAGAAGGGCTGAGACGACGCCGGCAAGAAGGAGGGGTAGTTTTCTGCGTGGCTGCTGGTAGGCTTTTCCTCCCATGGGACGCCATTGTCATTCCCCCTGAAGAGTGCGTCCATGGGAACCGGGAGACTCCATGGAAAAATCAAACGCATACCTCGGAGTAGCACCGTTTTGTCTGCACCTCTACGTCTCTCCTTCACTTTCTCCCTCCCGCCATTCCTCTCCTTTTTCGTCTCTCCCTCGCGAGTGAATAGCCGAAATGGCGAAAGGATCGCCACCGGCACACTTGAGTCAATCAACTGAATCGTTCGTCGATCGACGAAGCGTCGTGTAATTTAATTTCTGTGTTGCGCGCGCGCACTTGCTGCGTGATTAAAAAACAAGGAAGACAACGAGACATCGGACAGAATTTTCCGGAAGAAGAAAAAGAGAAAGAGAGAGAGAGAGAGCAAGCGAAAACATTTCCGCCATGCACGCATGCATGAGTTTTTAAAACCGCCAGGCCGAAGAATACATTTCTGCGCGACGATCGTCGAAAGTCGCTAACCCGCTTGCCGGGAAATCCATAAAGCTCAAAAGTGAAAGGTAAAAACGAAACGCATCCGCCGCGGAGGGGTACGCCGGCTTGAGCGAAGCGACGGCGGGGGTGCGGCGACGGCGGCGGATCGGCGGCGCGCGCGAGGGATGGGAATTCGGCTGATACGGAAAGAGAAAGGGAAAGAAACGTATCGATCTCGCGTTACGCGTTACGTTTCCTCCTAGCGTGCGTCTACAGCCACGTACACACGCGGGCTTAACGTACCTGAGGAATTGGCGCGCGCGTGAGACCTCACGAGGGCTAATATCGCGTCCTCCACCCCCGCCGTCGCCTCCCCCCTCCCCCTCCGCCCGCTGCTCGCCCGCAGTGTCGAGCGAATTTAATTTCGTTTACTCTTAGAGAACGTTAAGATGCTATCGCGATGCTGGATGGGTATTCAAAGCATTGTACCGCCGGCTTATCGCCACCGTGGATCTTGCTCTAAACACGATGTCTTCGTTGCGCCCGAGGCGTCGCCCGCCACCGTCGCCGCCGCCGCCGCCGCCGCCGCCGCCGCCGCCGACGACGACGACGCCGACGACGACGACGACAACGACGACGACGACGACGACGACGACGACGACGCCGCCTCCACCTTGTAGTCGCCGTTGCCAGATAGGAATACCATCGACCCGTGCAGCTACACGCTATTGCGAGAACGGTGCGAGAAGCCGCCCCTTTAACGACGCCGACGACAACGGGAACGAGTCGGTAACCACCCTCTCGGATCGCGAACGTTTTACTTTGTATCTATATTGAAATCGTGCGTCACACACGTTATTTAATAAAACGCGCGCGCCGCCGCCGGCGCGATACCACCGCCGCGCGTTTCCTCTCGTCCTATCGGACGCGTTGTCCGATAGAAAAACGTGCGAGCGCGCGGAGCACACAATCGCGCACGGTAACCTTAACGTTTGCTAGGCTCACTTGCAGTCGGCCGATTCAAGGCTGCGACGCTTCTCTCCTCGAGGAGAAAACGCAAATTTAATCGGCCGAACGTGCGATCGAGTTTGTTTTCGGCTACGCGCGATGTGCACATCATGATCGTTGGTTATTCGCAGAAAGTGACAGCGTCTAACAGTAACTTTGACAGTGGCAGCTTTCTGCGTATATTAAACACCTCTAGACTGCGACTCGCGTAAAAATCTGGAAAGAAATTTTCTACAGCCAATTCATGCTCTTGCATCCGTTAGCTGCTGTATCCATCAATAAGTGCACGTTCAAGCTACAACAAATCATCCTTGCCGTACGATCTCAAGGTTTTTCATGTGCTTTAGCGCCTGGTCTATCAGCCAAATGCTGATGAAAGAAGGATCATTGCGAGAAGCAGAGGAAAACAATGGGAAAATTAGTGTGTCCGCGAGATACATTGCGATATTCACGAGTGCAAAATAATATGCGGGTAGTTAAAGAGCGTTCTGATATGACAATGCACCTGTTTTCAAAGGACAACTTGTCTTACACACAGGTAGTTATCAATGTCGAAAGTACTTCGAGGTAATATTTCCTTAATAATTAATAATTTTTAGCTTCTTCCAGCCTTTTCATATGAGGCTGTTATTCCGGACCGCGTTTTTATGCGCAATTTGCGAGCGTTCGAAACGCGAGGACACGTTGCGCAATCGCGTATCAGCAAGGCGCTGAGGTGAAAAACCTCGGCGAAAGATTAAAGAGAGGAATTAGACAGTCGAGAGGGCAAGAGGGGAGGATTCGAGAGAGAGAGTGAGAGTGAGAGAGAGAGAGAGAAAGAGAGAGAGAGAGAGAGAGAGAGAGAGAGAGAGAGAGAGAGAGAGACAGACAGAAAGAGTTCGAGACGATTGAAATATTCCGGCTTGCCGGGATTCCCCGGCCGCGCCACCTCCGTCGGAAAAATCGGACGATCCGCTTTGAGAATTTGACGCTAACAAAATGACCCTACTTAGAGCGGGAGAGTTCTATGAGGAGAGAGGGAAAAAGGTAGGGAGGAAGGGCTCGCCAGGACCGACCGAAGGAAGGATGGCCGGGCTATAGATCTCCGCTTTTTTTATGGGATTCGTTCATAGGCAACACTAATCATTTACGACACCCTGCCGCCCCACTGCCTCCGCGCCACTTTATTTCTCTTTCTTTTCCCCGTCCTTTGCACCCCCGCGCGCGCGAGCGACGAATGAGCGCCAAGTCGTTTCCTTCCGCGCGTCTTTGGAGTATTGGCTGTTAGAGGCTAATGGATTGCGTTACTGACTGATTCAAATGCGAACTGGATTTCATTCCGGACTCGATGGGGCGGCGGCAGTATCGATGGTGTTGTAACGCGAACGCGTGCAAGAAGGGCTAGTTTCTTACAAGGGGCAGGGAGAGGGCGGAGGAGGATCAAATTCGATTCCGATCGTCTATTAGATTTTTCTCTTCTGTCGACGACGGCCCTCGCGATGTGCTCGCGTCGGTCGCTCCACGGGAAAATCTATTCCGGATCGCCGTTCGGGACACCCGGTACGTACACTTTACACCGGGTACCGGAGCATCGACTCGAGTTATGTGCCTTACGTTTCAATTGCAAGATACTTTCCTCACGCGCCGGGCATTCGATGATATAAATTCGCGCGTTTTCGCGCGACGAGCTGTTAGTCGAGGAATGCCAATTGCGTTTCGTTTCAGCGATCCGCGAGTTCCGGCGACGTGAAACAACCACGTAGAACACGGAAGTGAGATTAAGCTCACGAGCTCGCAACGCACGAGCTATGCGGACATTTGTCAACTGCGTGAAGTTTCCTTCGCAGATGATTCCACGCAATCAGGTATACATAATTACCGAGCCGAGCTCGGTATTTACGAAGAGAAGCAGCAGTGCGATTTGCGATCTCGCCAGCGTAATAACAATGCAGTACACGAAAATAGGATTAATCTCAAGCTGCGCCAACATTTTTCAATAGCGCCAAGTTCTCTCCGCAAATGACTGCACGCAATCAGGTATCCAATTATCGAGCTGAGCGTTATTTGGACAAAGGGCACAATGTTTGCGTGAAGAATTTTATTTCGCGGTGGCCGCGTCGCCG